AAAAAAAAAAAGAAAGAAAACTTAAACATTAACGTGCAAAACTGAAAGTATTCCAATTATCTTGAAATTCAGAGTTTTCCAGTAGCTTGATTAAGAGAGGAAGGCTCGATTGGAATTTATGGTTCATTTTTAACCACTGCACAGGACTGCTTGGTGAAAGTTTTAGGAAATTGGATAGTTTTGGACCCCTCCTGAGATCCTTCTTAGCAGAGGACAGACCACAGTGTGGTGCCAGCTCAAAGCAGGTTCTCCTGCTGCTGTGTAGACAAGCATACTCATGTACACGGCAGGATGCTAGTCTTTGTTCTGAGAACTGAAGCCAGGATGGCAGTTGTATAAAGTCAGCCCCTGCATTCTAATGGTTTGTTGTTTCATTTTGTTTTGAAGGGTATGTTTTCAGAAGGACTCATGCATGGACAAGGAACTTACATTTGGGCTGATGGATTAAAATATGAGGTAAAATATACAAGTTTACAGTGTAAATTAATTATAAAATTTAATGACCAGATTCCCACAATTAAATGAACTATTTTCATTAAAGTAATTCAGCACATGGGTTTAAAAAAAAAAAGAAGGGTCACAGAACCAAAGGATACAGTAACTCATGACTACATGGGGCCCACTGGGAGTTGGTGTTACTGGTCTCATTTACATGCTCTAAAGGTATTCTATGTTCTGTGCATATATAGCACACTTAAATTTTTAGCCCCACATTTGTGGAAAGCACAAACACAAATAATTTATTATATACTCTCTTTAATATCTTAATTTTTTTTGCTAGCAGCATGTATTCCATTATGTGGATTTCACCTAATCTGTCCTGCTAGGTGGAGAGGCATTTTTTTGGTTTGTTTCTTTCAGATTTTTTTGCCAAAGGGTGTGGGTGCTCACTGAACAGAGATAGAGACAGAGACAGAAAGTGAGAAATCACTTCCCAGGGGGCATGCCCATGTCACAGTCCCTTCTCCTCCATTCTTCTCTTGGGATTTTGGGCATGAAGGCACACTTTCCTGGCACGTTCTTCCAGCAGCCAGATCCAGGACTCACACCACAGAGTCAGTCATGTGGGATCCAGTGCCTTTACCGTCATGCCACCTTCTTGCCCAAGGGATGTATATTTTTAAATTGATTGCTAGGGTGGATTTGTTCTCCTTGGGATTTTACTAGTTTCACATCCCTCTCCAAAGTATGTGAGTACTTAAAACACTATGCCAAGTCTCGATTTTAGAACTCCTAACATGATGGTGTTTATAAATGATAACAGAGACATTAAAAACATGCACATAATGCATTTATCTGAATGAAGCCAAGTAATGATGGAAACAGACGGAAGGCCTGGAGGGCAGCTAATTGGAGCTGGTGGTTGGACACATGTTACTGAGATGCAGGAGAGCCTAGCAGGGGTTGACCCTCACTACCCAGGGGACAGAGAAACCGCAAAGGTCCAGGGGACCCAACAATGGTTTGGGGCCAGCCTTTCTGGGGACTCCTTTTCTATGCAATATCTGACCTTCCAACCTATGGCCAACATTCAAAGTTTGTGATCCCTTAATGGTGATTTGCCAAGGAGTCCCAGCCACTGCTTCATTATCTGTGGAAAGTCTTTGGGAAGAGAGAGATCATTCTTGCAGGCACAGACCCCTGCATAGCCCAGACAGGAAGGTGGAAGGATATGATTAAGGCTTTCATGGAAAAGCATCCTTTGGGCAGCAGCTGGCCTCACCCAGTCTGGCCACTGGTCATATGGGGCTGCACTGTCTCCTTTTCTGTGCTGACTGGCTGCCTCCAGTGAGTTCAGGTTCCTAAAGGAAATCTCATAGCCATGAGATCCCCATGCTCTGGGCTATGGCACATTGAGCTGACTGCTGCCCAGTCTCCAGATTTCGCCTGCGTGGAGCAGATTCTCTAGAAGGTGCCCATCGGGTGGCCCATGGAATGACATGACTGCAGAATATGCTGATGTACCACAGGCAGAAAGAAGGATTTCTCTCAGTGATCATCAAGTCTGGTGAATCATCTGAATCTCCTGGAGGGAAAAATGAGTTAACTGTCTTCTAGGTGGGTTCTGAGCATCTAAAGTTCCTGAGGTCAGGATTGGAAGCCAGCACTTTATCATGTCATCTGTTTGCTTCTTGGAGCTTAGTCTACGCATACACTTCCACATAGGTCATTCTGCCTAGGTTTCACCCAATGGAGGGATCAGGTGAGAGAGGATGGGAAAAGTGGAGAAGGAAGGAGGAGATGGGGAGCAGGAGGATTTTCAACTATTTCCATGGAAGAGTCAGGAATGATATCAGTAATCTTGGAGATATTTCAAATGGTCATAAGATTGGGTTCCCTCACAGCCTTCCTCCTGTCACTCTTTTTCTACTTTAGGGGGACTTTGTGAAGAACATCCCCATGAACCATGGTGTGTACACATGGCCGGATGGCAGCACCTATGAAGGAGAAGTAATAAATGGCATGAGGAACGGATTTGGTATGTTCAAGTGCAGCACGCAGCCTGTGTCCTACATCGGCCACTGGTGCCAAGGCAGGAGACACGGGAAGGTCAGTGAGGCAGCCATGTGACCGAGGGCAGGGAGTGGTGGCTGTTAAGGACATAATCACTTTTTCTTTTTCAAGGTGAAATTCACATTGCATAAAATTAATCTTATTTTTAATTTTATTTTTTGTGGAGGTTTTGGTTTTAGGGTGCATGTGCTTGCCCAGGGAGAGAGACAGAGACAGCAAGAGGGAAAGTGAGAAATCACCCCCCCAGGGGGTCTGGCCATGCCACAGTCCCTTCTCCATTTTCCTTCCAAGACTTTAGGCACTCACGCACATGCACCTGGTGTGAGTGTCAAGCCTCCAGGTCTGGGACTCAAACCGCGGTTGGCCATGTGGGAGTCCAGTAGCGTAACCACCACACCATCTGCTGGCCTCAAAATGAACCATTTTAAAGTTTATAATTCAGTGTGGCATTAAATACACTCACAGCATTGTGCAACCATCACCTCTGTCTAATCTCAAATCATTTTCATCACTCCAAAATAAAACCCCATCCCCATCAATCCCCACACCCCCTGGCACCCACTCATCTGATTTCTGTGTCTCTGGTTTTACCCAATCTGGACATTTTATGTAAATGGAATCATACAGTACATGTGTTCACTTACACTCGGGATAAAATGAGTCTAGGACTCAAACCACAGTCATCCATATGGGAGTCCAGTGCCCTTAACCATCACACCGTCTGCTGGCCCCCAAAATGGTTTCTACATACAGTAGAGTGATCTTCAGTTACATGGAAGGGGCAGCTATTTAAATAGCAATGAGCCAGGATTTCCTAGGTATTTATTTGATTAGTAGTTTCTGAGTGTATTGAATATACCTGAATCTAATGAATGTAATCATTACGTGCCTTAATGTGACACTTTGTTATTAAGGAATAATTGAGCCCTGACGTTACCTCATTCTCCCTTCCATTTTCTTGATTGCAAAATGGAAACACAGTGGATTATATGTCTTGTTTAGGTATGCCGTTGACTTCTGCATAGTTTGCATTTTTTAAAATTCATACATTTTCATCTTTATATTTTAAAAAGCATTTGTGTTATGAGGCTTGATATTTAAAAATGATATTGTTTGTTTTAGGGCTCCATTTATTATAACCAAGAGGGTACCTCCTGGTATGAGGGAGACTGGGTGTACAACATCAGAAAGGGCTGGGGCATAAGATGGTAGGTATGACCACTGCCACATTCGGGATATGGGTGGACAGAGCTTGTGGGCCCAAGTCATTTTCATTTAGGCTCTTTAAAGATAAGGTGCAGAGGGGGCTGGCAAGTGGTGTGTAGTTAAAGGTGCTGGATTTCCACGTGGCTGACTGCAGTTCAAGTCTCGGAACTGTTGGCTTGCTTTCTTGCTTTCCCATCCTCTCTCTCTATCTGGTCAAATAGAAAAATAATAATAATAAATGGAATTAAATAAATAATTAATAATTCTTTAATAAAGATAAGGTGCAGAAATGATAGAGAACATATTTTCTAAGCAGGATGAAATATTGAACTTAATCCTAATATAATCAACATAGCAATGAAAAAGTTTTATGAAGACTTTAGAAAAACACTGTATTGGTGTTCATGCAATGTTTGCTGAATCAGTGTTGAATCTGTGCAGCAGAGTCATGCTAAGTCCAGAAGGCTGAGTCAGTGATGGCGAAGTAACAGCCATAGGCCTGATCTCAGTAAATAGCCTTGTCTTTCTGTAAAAAAACACCACCACATTACATGATCTGTAGTCATACTGTTTGTCCTGACTATATGTGGAAGCTGCCATTTTTTGCTCCCTATATTACTTGTGGATCTCCATTTTTGTTTTGTTTTGCCTTTTTTTTTTTTGGAGAGGTTTTTGCTATAGGGCACATGTGCTCGCCAGAAAGACAGAGACAGAGAAATAGAAAGCGAGAAATCACCCCCAGGGGGGATGGCCACGCCGCAATCCCTTCTCCTCCATTCTTAAGCCACTGGGTCCAGGACTCGAACCACTGTCGGCTACAAGAAAATAGCCTTTTCGCAAACCTGTGTTCCCTTTTTTTTTTTTTTTTTTTGAGAGGTTTTGGCTGTAGGGCACGTGTGCTCTCCAGAAAGAGAGAGACAGAGAGACAGAAAGCGAGAAATCACCCCCCAGGGGGATGGCCATGCCACAATCCCTTCTCTTCTCTTCTCCTCTCAGGATCTCGGGCACGCACACACACCTGGCATGAGCTTAAGCCACCGGGTCCAGGACTCAAACCACAGTCAACTACATGGGAGTCCAGTGACATAGCCATTACACCAACTGCTGGTCCTATGTTTTGTTTTGCTTTTTGTTTTTGTCATAAGGCATGTGCATTTGCCAGAGAGAGACAGTAAGAGGGATAGTGAAAACTCAGCCCCTGGGGGGATGACCATGCTTCAATCCCTTCTCCTCCATCCTCCTCCTGGAATTTTGGGCACACACACACATGCACCCCACATGATTTTGTGGATCTCCATTAGCTGTAAGTTTTCTGAAGAATGCTCACACATTTGCTTGAATTTAGATTGGACTTACTGAGTCAATTTTTTTTAAGAGAGGTTTTTTGCTATAGGGTATTTGCTTTTGCTGGAGAGACAGGGAGAGACAGAAAGTGAGATAGCACACACACAAACACACATCCCAGTGGGAATGGCCATGCCACAATCTCTTCTCCATTCTCCTCTCGGGATTGTAGGCACGCACACACACGCACCTGGTGGAGTTTTAAGCTGCTGGGTCCAAGACTCGAACTGCAGTTGACTACGTGGGAGTCCAACATGTAACCATTATGCCATCTGCTGGTCAGTCCCAAGTCAAATATTTTAAGGATTAAAATATTGGGGGGCAAAATATTAACTAATCATAATACTATAGGGATTATTTTTAAAAGACGAAATCCACTCTATTCTACTTTGTCTTTTTATTAAATAATTAGGAACTTTGGGTTGACCCTTTAGTTAACTGTGGTTTGAGTCCTGGCCCAATGGCTTGAAAAGCATTACAAGTGCATGTGTGTCCTCGCCCAAAATATTGACAGGGAAGAGAAACAGAGAAGGGATTGTGGCATGTCTACCCTCCATGGGAGTGTGCTTTCTCTCTCTTTCTGTGTCTCTGGTGAGCACATGTTACCCTCTGACAAATAATCAATTTTTTACAAAGTAATTAGAAAAAGTAATCACAAGGTTAATAAAAATATTATTCTTTTCCCTAAAATGACTTTTTATTTTAATGACCACATGCCTATCCATAGAATTTAAACATAGGGAGTCAGCAGATAGCATGATGGTTAAGGGTGCTGGACTCCCATATGACTGACCATGGTTTGAGTCCCAGACCTGGTGCCTTGCTTTTTCTCCTCTCTCTCGCTCCCTATTCCTGTCTGGTCAAATTAAAATAAATAAATAAAGTTCAATAAAGTAATAATAGTGAAAAAGAATTTAAACATAGATAAGGACGTATATATGCAAGGCTTAGATTTTTTCAAGGGTGTTTGGAAAGAAGCTGAAAAGAAAGTTTAAAGGTACCTGTCTGTGAAGCAACTGATTGTTTTCATTTGTCCTAGTTACAAATCTGGAAATATATACGAAGGCCAGTGGGAAGACAACATGCGCCATGGGGAGGGGAGGATGAGGTGGCTGACAACCAATGAAGAGTACACCGGCCAGTGGGAGCGGGGAGTCCAGGTACGCGCTAGCCCAGCTCAGCAGTTTCTACCCAGAAGTGGATGCTCTGTTAATCACAGCACATAGCTTATTTGGAATGATATTGTATGGCAATCTGAAATTTAAACTCTGCTAAATTCAGACACTCAAATTACTACTCATGGTCTCAACAGTACTTTTTTATTGCTATTTTATTAGTTTTCTCTAGTGGTCTCACACACAAGCTAAGTTCAGCCATTGGCAAAGGCATAAATTCACATAGTGCTCATGAGGACTGATTTATTATTTATACTTCAGAAGCTATGGATATCTTGATCAGAAAAAAAAAACTTTATATGGTCAATTTTATATAGTTTACATAACTAGAATTTTCTGATAATACCTTATATATTGACCCAGTAATTACAGACCTTGCTAAACTCACGTAACAGTCTAGTTACAGTTTTGTAGATTCTTTGGGATTTTCCATATAGCTATTCATGTTTGCAAATACAGTCAACTTTTTCATCCTTTTTTTTTTGGAGAGGTTTTTGCTATAGGGCACGTGTGCTTGCCAGAAAGACAAAGAGAGACAGAGAGACAGAAGGTGAGAAATCACCCCCCGGGGGGATGGCCACGCCCCAATCCCTTCTCCTCCATTCTCCTCTCAGGATCTTGGGCATGTACGTACATGTGCCCGGCATTAGTTTAAGCCACCGGGTCCAGGACTTGAACCACGGTCGACCACATGGGAGTCCAGAAACATAGTCATTACGCCAACTGCTGGTCCCGAAAAGCCATCTTACTGAATTTTAAAAAAAATTGTCACAAGATACATGCGCAGAGTGCGTTTTCTTAACTGCTAAGGCTCAGATTTGAACCATGATGTTGACCATGTAGACTCTGGCTCCCTTAACCAGTAGGCCACAGAGCCAACCCTTAAATTTCCTAATATACATATTTTTTATGGCAGAGGGCACATGTGTGCACACACATGAGAAAGATATAAAGAGAGGGGCCAGCAGGTGGCGTGGTGGTTAAGGCAGCTGACTGAGGTTCAAGTTCTGGACCTGGCTGGCGGCTTGCTTTCTCACTCTCTCACGCTCGCTCTCTGTCCTTCTCTGGCAAAACTCATGTGACAAAAAGATAAATAAATAAAATAATTCTTAAAAAAAAAAGAGAGAGAGATAAAGGGAAACAGAGCCAAGACTCAAACCCCAGTCAGCCATATGGTTCCAGCTTCCTCTGCACAGTGCCTAATTGCAGTGCAATTGGGGTGGCCAAGCTTTCTATCTTTCCTTCAAATTTGTATTTGATGTCTTTTCCCTTGCTGTGTAGCACTATCTAGGTAATACTGCCAGTATCATGTAGGAGTGGGGAGAGGGGATATCTTATACTGTTCCTGATTTTTTCTTTTTGAGAGGTTTTTGCTATAGGGCGCGTGCGCTCGCCAGACAGACAGAGAGAGACAGAGAGACAGAAAGTGAGAAATCACCCCCCAGGGGGGATGGTCAC